CCAGTAAATACTAGGAGATTTTATAGATATACAAATGCGGGGGGGAAATTTTTTCATTTGGGTAAAAAGTAATATTGAAGAAGGAAACATAGTATGACATTACATACAGCAGAAAATCGACAATCAAAGCCTTTAAAAACCTCTGTATTTCATGTATAGGATTGGGAAAAGAACTCTTTGATAATAAGCATATTCCAGGTAAACAGAGACTTCGTAAATCTATAAATATTTAATTGCAAATATTAATACCCTATGTTACTCTTCTACATAAAGGAGAAACTCCAAATCCTGTTCTTTAGGAAGACACAAGCAATACCTTGAGAGTAACTATTGCCAAATCTTCCCTTTTTTGGGGGAGACCTAACATGTTACATGGATTAATTACAAAAGGATATATCAGACTCCATTGAATTTAAGCAAAAGACACAGCTAAAATTTCCCAGTGAGGGTAATAAATATTTGATACTTATGAGTGTGAATACATAAGTTAATTAAATATTAGGCACAAGAAAAATTCCAAAACTATCTGAAGTACGAATTTAAAAATGGCATAAATATGCCCTGGCTGGTGTGGTTCAGTGGATAGAGCATGCCCACAGACTGAAAGGTCCCAGTTTCGATTCCAGTCAAGGGCACATACCTAGGTTGTAGACTCAATCCCTGGTCCTGGTGGAGGCAACCAATTGATGTGTCCCTCTCACATATGTGTTTCTTTCTTCTGTCTCTCCCCTTCATTTCCACTCTCTAAAAATCAATGGAAAAGTATCCTCAGGTGAGAATTAACAAAGAAACAAACAAAAAATGGCATAAATGCCAGTCAGTCAGTTAACATAACTTTGCTATTGGGTATGTTCCAGGCTTCCTTTTCTATTCCAGTGAGATCTGCTTCTTTTTTGTCCAAGGTCTTCCACTGCTGGGCTCCAAGACAGTAAACTGTTTAACACCATCAGGGCCTTGGTCATGGAAAGAATTTATTTTAGAAAAAAAATTTTCTTTCTTCTTTACTAAAGATTATGGTTGTTTTTATTGAACCAGGAGGTCACAGGTCAATTCCCAGTCATGGCACAGGCACAGGTTTCGGACTCCATCCCCAGTGGGGGCATGCAGGAGGCAGCCGATCAATGACTCTCTCATCATTGATGTTTCTCTCTCTCTCTCTCTCTCTCCCCCTTCCTCTCTGAAATCAATGAAAATATATTTAAAAAAAAAAAAAAGAAGCCACCCACTCAACCTTTTTGTCATTTGGTCTCATCTAAAGAATAAGTAAAAAGGATCAAGGTTACAAAGGACTCATGACCAAAGTACACCTTTTACAAATATCTTTTGACTGGCCATGGAAAGCTTTATTTCTTTATCAAGCCCCAAATGAGTCTTTAATAGATTAAGAATCCCTTCCCACCTATTAGAGGCCTATAAGGAATAAATGTTTCAAAGATCAGTTTCGAGTAGTACACAGATACTTCAGGGGAGTGGACCAAACAAAAGGAAAATGCAGAATGCAAGAAAGAGTTCAAAGAAAATCCAACAAAATATACAGACCAACTTTTGACTGGCTCCTTTTACTATTTAGAAATTAAGATATTTTCAGTCTTTTGCTTTCCTTTTCCACATTGTCTCTAATATCCTGGAGTTTTCTGGAGTTCTGGGCCAGGAACACGAAGCTGTCCCTGAAATCACTAGTCCCATGATTTCTGCCAACATTTTCAAGCTCATCAAACAAAGCCAATGTCTGTTTAAGTTTGGCCTGAACAGTTTTTTGCTCTTCTAACTCTGCAAGAAGGGCCTGCTTAGTGCATAATTCAGTCTTGTACTTCTCCTGTAACTGTTCAATTTCTTTCTGGAGAAGCTGGAATTCTTCCTCACTATAAGAATGCATCTCCTGAGATTTATCTTCTGGAAGCAAGATGTTTGGGGGAATACGCAAAATCCACTGTAAAAACAGCTGCTCCATTTTGACAAAAAGCTTATCAAAACGTCCTTTCATGAAGCAAAGAAACTTCTCTGTGCACTTACGAACCTGGACTGGGCTAATCTCACAGTTTGGGATGCCCTCCAGCTTCTTCAGAATAACCTGTTCAACAGCCTGCATCACTTCAAATAGGTAGTCTTGAAATGCAATGTAGATCCTGAGCATGCAAGTTTGTGGTGTGAAGCCAAAGAACTGGGCCTCATAGGTCATTGGATCGACAGACATCTTGACTTATTTTGCTGATAATTTTGATTGTGAAAAATCTGCAAATGTAAAGGAAATATCATTAGATTAAATCATCTGAAGAAAGTAATAAATCACATTATAGAGAGAAAAGTTTGTGTTCCTTGATGCCCAATGCCAATTCCAGCCTCACTCATCCACAACAGGATGCCAACCCTTGCCTCTCTCTAAGGCTGTTTCTATCCATCTATAACCTCCCTTAGACTCTCACTTTCCTTACCTCTCATTTATTGAGGACTCTGGCCTGTGGTTCAGTCTTCTGAAATCTGTTATCATCCTAGAAAACATTCAAATTTAGACAAATAACCTAAGCAGTCCTAGAGACACAGTTTCATGAGATTTAATGGCTTCACTCTTTTGGCCACCTGGCTCTTGATATTTGCAAATTCTCTCCCCAAATGCCCTATTTCCTGACAACTTCTTATGCTATTCTTCCAACTCTCATTCACGTACTCACATTACACCTTAATCATCAAGACTTTCAACCCTCTGATCCTCTCTTTCTTGCACTCAGTCTATCCCACTTCACTTCTTTCCCAATCCATTTTAGGCTCCACCATTCATCACTTTAACCACTCCCTTGCCAATGTCCTCAACTCCCTGTCCTTCCAACCTAGCCAACAGGGAAAAAAATCGCAGTTAGTAGCTAAACAGTGCCTTGTCAGCTTTACAACCTCTCAATGTGTTTTCTCAAGGGTCTAGAAGTCTTTACACTGTAAACATCTTGGAAAATAGCTTTCCTATCTCCTTGTCACTGTGAGAGTGACACTTTTTTTCTGAGCTATAATCAGATGCTTGTTGTAGAAATAAGAGAAGTTTCATTATTCCTTCAGATAAAGACAATTAGCAAAATAAATGGATACCTCAGTTACCAGATGAATTTAGGATGGATGAACTTTATGAAAGAACTAGAGGCCCAGTGCATGAATTTGTGCACAACCAGGAAGGGGATGCGGGAGGTTGGCTGGCAGGCCTGCCCCCCACTCCAATCAGGGGTGAGGGTGAGAGAGGGGGAGGGAGTTGTGGGCAGGGCTGGCCAGGGGGAGGGGCTTCAGACAGTTGGTGGGCCAACCCCGCTCCCTGGGGACAATTTGCATATTAGCCTTTTATTAAATAGGATTTGAAGCAAATGGTACGGTCAAATCTTTTTATAAGAAGACAAGATGCCATTAATTTTGAGAATTTATATATGCAATGACTAAAATAGAATGGCCGTAATTGCTTGGCTGCATAAATAAGGTAGAATTCCTTTCTGTCTTTGTAATCTCACCCAAATTATCTACAGTGCATTGTAATCTGAATATGACTATTCATTAATAAAACTACTTTCTTTTCTATATGTTGTGGAGAGGAGTCTCTGGGTTGGCAGGGTTTTTATTTCCTCAACACTTCCCTATGCTTCAGGATCAAGTTCAAAACTCTTTCAACATGGCTTGCAAGGGCCTTCATCACCCAACCCTTACTAACCACATTCTGCCCGTTTTAAAGACTTCACATGTTCACAATCGAGCTGATAGATAATACTTCCTATTTCACTCACTCTATTTTTACTTCAGGCGAGGTCTTCTCTTACTTATTTTATTCTTCTACCTTTCATCTCCCTTAGGAACCTACTCTAATGTTTGTTTTGTTTTCATCACCATTTATCCCCTCTATGCCCTCTTCCACCTCCTCCCCTCTCCGAGCAATCACCAAAGTTACCCATGTCCGTGAGTTCTACTTTTCTTTTTTGCTCAATCCCTCCCCAACCCCCCTCTAATGTTTCTAAATATGCTTTTTTCAATTTGTCTTTAATGTTAATTCAACTTTAACAGGTTTTAGATATACATGTTGTTGAAAAATACAGTTTTGCATGTGTATGTTTACATTTTCCTTTATGTTTGCAATCACTTCGTTATTATCCTTCAGTTTACCTCATTGGTTCTGGCTGAAGTATACCAACAATTTTATCATATGCACATACCACACTTAAAGTCCATTCTCCTTGTGACAAACACCTAGTTTGCTTTCAGCACCTTACTACCAGAAATGATACTGTAATAAACACCCTTCTATGATTTCTCCTTAGGGACTTTGAGGGTATTTACACAGGCAAGTAATTGCTGGCCAAAGAATTTTCTCATAATTTCACTAAATACTGCCAAAATGTTTAGAGCATTGCTGGGGGTGGGGATGTCCTACAATGAATTACACTCTCACTTACAGTATGTGAGAATTTCTCACATCTTTGCCAACACCATTAAGCATTCTAATTTTTACCAAACTGGTAGACATACAATTGCTTTAGTGTTGTGTTTTGAAAACCAAAACCATCTAGCCCCACACACGAGTTGGATACTGAGGACTGAAACTACCTACACTCCCACCCCAACAAGCAATTTACTGTTTACATTAGCGTGACTTTCCTATTCTAGGAAACCAGTCTATTTTCATCGTTCTAATGGCTTGAACTGCCCCAAAGGTGGATCAGCTCTTCAATGGGAAGCATCAACATGCAGAACCTAAGTTTCTCTGAAACCCCTGCCTCGGCTGTTTCTGCCAATCCTGTACTGTCGTGTCACGGTCTCTACCCAATCCTAATCAAGCCCCCAAATTGAAAGATCCACTGCAGTTCTCAAAACATTCCCATCTTGCCTTTCTTCCCTAGGAGACACGGCCAAAGCTCTTTCAAGGCCCGTTGTTCTTCCTTACCAGGGTAAGCGGTACATGAAGCATTCTTTTATCAACAGAATAAAAGAATGTGAGGGCGATATTTGAGGAGCAGGCAAAAATATTTTTAGTGCATTTCTCTGATTACCAGTAAACTGGGTACTGCTTCCTACATGTTAGCTTTTTGGGTTCTCCTCCCGTGAACACCCGTTCATATCCTTTGTAAAAACCACTCTCTTCACCCTTTGGTTTGGTTCCTTCCTTACATACTACCAGATTTGACGGCCATTCCCTATTCCTAAACTTTGAGCGCTTCCTTATTCGTTTGTCAAGATCTGACTACTCTTCCCAACCAAACCGAACTACTTTTTCCCCTGTGACGTCTTCCCTTCAAGGTAAGATGTCGTGGCCAAACCTCCTTCAGGGGTCAGTTTAAACACACTTCCTTGGTGGCGCACCCCCTCCCCTGAACACCAACGGGGCCTTTCTTCAGGCACCGACCGAGTTCCGCTTCAGGATGTTATCACGGGCCCATCTCAGCTTCCCTGCTGGCCCTAGACTTCCTCGGGGCAGGACAAAGGCGGCTTAATCAGTATTTGCAGAGTAAACACACGAGGTGCCCGGAATACCTCCACGAACTGAGTTGACAGAGTTGCAGATAACAGCCCAGCAGGAACTCCTTCCGGCCGGAGGACCGGCTCCCGTCGGGCCCCGCGACCCCGCTGCATGCCGGGACCTTCAGGTCGGAGGCCCCGCCGGCCAGGCGGCTGCAGAGCCCCGCGGTGATGCCTCACCCACTTCCACTCCTCCCCTCCTTTCCTGTGAGAAAGTGGAGCCCCGCGGCACTTACCGAAGCGACTGTGAGGGAGGCAATTTCGATCAAACAGTGGTTACCCGCCACCTCCGTTCAACCACCTCTCGCTGCCCGAGATCGGTGGCGCGGCAGCTCAAAACACCGAAAGATGCCCGCCTCAGCGAACGAGAGCCAAGGCGGGATGATGCCGCGCTCCTGATTGGCTGGCTGCTCGGTCGGTGACTGACGGGGGCCGGGCGAGCCAGCTAGCTGTGGCCCCCGGGGATTGGCGGAAGGAAACTGCACCGACTCTCCTCTCAGCGACGTGGGCGGGTGAGGAAGCCAGGCTGGGTCGCCGCCGAGACGCAACTCCTGATTGGTGAATGGCTTTCCTTAGGGCTCCTGCGATTGGTGGTTAGCAGGCTGCGCGGCGCCGATTGGACGACAGCGGGCAGGGTACCGGGAGGCCTCTTTGGCCCCGCCCCGCCGCTGGGCTGACTGGCGGAAGGGGAAGTGGGGCGGGGGCAGGCGGCGGTGGGGAAGATGGCGTACCAGAGCCTCCGGCTGGAGTACCTGCAGATCCCACCGGTCAGCCGCGCCTACACCACCGCCTGCGTCCTCACCACCGCCGCCGTGGTGAGCAGATGCAGCGCCGGCTTCTCATGATCCAGGCTGGGAATAATCGGGTCCTGGGGAGGCGGGCTTGGGCCTCCGGGAAGCCCAGATGGTTGGGTCTCAGGGTGGGTGGCGGTGGACTGGGCGCACTCGGGGCTTCGGAATTGCTTTCAGACTGATTAGCCGGGGCCGCGGGAAGGGAGTGCTGCTGCGGGAGGGCTGGAGGATCAGGGCTGCGGGTCAGTTTCTGAGACAGGAAGGCCGGACCTGTCGCAAGTCGGGGCGGCGCAGCGGGAGCCGCCCACCCAGAAAACGTGTCTGGGGACCCGGGCGATGGCCAAGTGGCACCAATGGCCAAGTGGTACCGCGGTGACTAGTGGGGGAAAGTCCGCCTATGAAGAAACTTAGATATGGAGGATAGAAAGCTGGAAGTTGTCCAAAAGCAAGAGGCTTAAAATAAACAGTGTGAATACAGAGGTTGGCTGGAAGCAGGGTCTTGAGTATTGTTTCTTTTAAAAAACATATTTTTATTGATTTTAGAGAGATAGAAGCATCAATGATGAGAAAGAATCGTTGAGCGGCTGCCTCCTGCACGCCCCCCACTGGGGATCAAGCCGGCAACCCGGGCATGTGGCCCGACTGGGAATCCAACTGTGACCTCCTGGTTCGTAGGTCGATGCTCAACCACTGAGCCACGCTGGCCGAGCCGGGCGAGTCTCATTTCTTTTGAGTGAGATGTGTTGCTTTGCCCAACTGTGATGGGCAGATCGAGCAGCCGCTCATTACTTGCCCCATATCTAAGATGTATATCACCACCTGCCTCCCATGCCTTCAGGCCAGCCTCAACTACTGCAATTTAGAACAGACTTTCATTCTGTGTTGGGTATTGAGGACACACAGAATTGTACCAGTCTTAGAGAATTCTTTACCAGCCTCTCCCGGCGGCTTTAAAGGATTCAGTCTAAGTGACTGAGAGTTGGAAATTGCTTGCCCTACTAATCCTTCATCGTAGATGATGAAATTTTACTTCTTGATTTGATTCGCTTAAGGAGCTCTTTCTCTATTTCAGCAGTTGGAATTGATCACACCTTTTCAGCTGTACTTCAACCCTGAATTAATCTTTAAACACTTCCAAGTAAGTGGTCCATCGCAGTCATGATGTTTCAGTTTTTAAACGTGTTTTTCTTACTTTTTAATAGCAAAGCCTGCTATATACTACCTCAGAAAAGAATGCAGAGAAATCAGTGGAAATGTCTGATTATAAGTCTTATTGTGGGAGGTATAAACAGGGTTTCTGCGGCCTCATTGGGAATGTTTAAGAGATTCTCAAGCTTCTCCTCATGTACTAAGTCAGAATAACCAAGGTTAGGAATTAAGAATCTGTGTGGAGTTTTTAAAGTTCCCTGCATGGATTTGCTTTGATGTGTCCAGTTCCTATATTTAGGAATCACTAGTTCAGAGTTAATATTGGATTTGAGAGACTGACCAGGGAGAATCTCACTTTATTTTGTGCATTTGCCGCCTGGCACACCCACCACCTTGGTGTTATCACCATTGTCCAGTTCTGGAATTCAGCTCTATCAGTGCATTTTATTATTCATTTATTTATTTTCAAATTGTAAGAGAAAGGTTATTTAGAAAGTTACAAGCTCTGGCTGGGTAGCTCAGTTGGTTAGAGCGGTGTCTGGTTACACCAAAGTTGCGGGTTTGATCTCTGGTCAGGGTACATACAAGAAGCAACCAATGAATGCATAAATAAGTGGAACAACAGGTATATGTCTCTCTCTCTCTCTCTCTCTCTCTCTCTCTCCTCCCTCACCCTCTCTCCCCCCCTCCCTCCTTTTCTTCCTCTCCTTCCCTCTCTCCCTTCCTCTCCCTAAACATATCCTTGGGTGAGGATTAAAATTAAGTAAATAAATAAATTTTAAAAATCAATAAATAAAGTTTAAAAAAATAAGTGATCCAGCTGGGCTGCATAGACTCAGGAAACAAGTTATAGAAGTAAAAGAAGGACCCTTGGAGCTTAGGAGAGGGAGAGACAAAAGTTAACAGGTGCCTGGGGGGAAAGTAGGGGGAGGGAAAGGTGTGAGCATGCCCCCAGGAGGGAAAGACCCTCAACTCTATTAGTGCTTTTATTTTATTTACTTATTTTTGAACTTTTATAAGAATTTATTTAAGCTGAACTGACAAAATATGCCAGTGTGAGGGTGGGGAGCAAGATCTCAAATGCTCTTTCCTCTATTAGTGCTTTTAAGGTGATCCATCAAAAACTCAAAAGATTGACATCTTAAACGACACGCCAGTTTGTTAGATTGCAGTGGAAGGTAGTCCTTTCCAGTAATGATAGTGCTAAAAGAGAGATGTCTTTCCTGCTCCAGGATGTTCATATAGGCTATAGTTGGAATGGGAGAGAGACCCAAAAACCAGTATTTCTGCCTCTATACATGCTATTCACTCTGTTTCAAGTGTGTTTCATTCACTTTATACCCACTGAATTCCAGCTTGCCTTTCAAGAGAAGCTTTTATGTAACCATCTCTTTTGTTTCCCTAGGGTATTTGTAAATGCTTCCTTTAGAGCAGCAGTTCTCAACCTGTGGGTCACCTAAGACCATCGGAAAACACATATGTAATTACATATTGTTTTTGTGATTAATCACTATGCTTTAATTATGTTCAATTTGTAACAATGAAATTGGGGGTCACCACAACATGAACTATATTAAAGGGTCACGGCATTAGGAAGGTTGAGAACCACTGCTTTAGAGCATCTCTTATCTCAGACTTGCACTTGTTTATATGCTGGTGTCCTGGCTAGATTGTGGGCTCTAAAGTCTAGGACTGCAGAACTGAATTGTTTCACCTTTATTAGTTAGCAGTTCTTAAGAGTTTAATAATACTTAAAGCAGCCCTCTGGACTCTTGTCATGTCTTCTTCCTTTGATACTCATGGCCTTTGCTTGGTGCTGTAGCTCCACCCAAGTATTGCTTCAGGTTAATAATTGCTTGGCTTGATTTTGCCTGGAGGTAAACTCTTGATACTGTGAATCTGCATTAGGAGTTAGAAGTTTTAGGTTGGAGTTCAGAGTCTCCCTTTACAATTTATGTGTTCTTGGGCAAGCCATTTTAAAAGTATTCTTAGTATGATATGGGAATGGTGGAAACAAGATTAAGATCACATGAGCTACTAGAATATGTTAAACTACTTTAAAATGTTAAGTGCTCTACCATTGTGAGAAGTTGTTTTTATTGTGAGCTCCATGGGTCGGGTAGGGAAGAGTAATTTTCAACAAGAACATGCGTGTCCTTATATCTACCAATCTAGTTATTAGAGCATTAGGTCTTTACTTGTAGGAAGTTGGCTTTTTTTTTTTTTAATGCATTCATTGGTTGCTTCTTGTATGTGCCCTGACTGGATATTGAACCCACAATTTTGGCATATTGGGACGATGCTCTAACCAACTGAGCTACCCGGCCAGGGCGGGAGTTAGCTATTTGTTCAGACTAGAATTTGAATATTTGCTTTACAGTTACTCTTTACTCTGGGTGTTTTGGGCTACTTAACTGATTGGCTGCTGACGTATTTTTTCGGACATACGCCTAAACTGCGGCACTAATTGCGCATGTATGGGAAAAAATGTAAAACACTTTTTATACAATAAACTCACTTATATTGCTTTGCAACAACAAAAATTTAAAAATACCAATTGTTTACATAAATTTGTTTTAAATAAGAAGAGCGCGATAGCACTCCTTAGCAGTCAAACAGTTAATATAGAAACATTTTTTAGTAATTTGTATTAGATCCCTGGAGTTTTTCTCTGGTGTCTCAAGACTATTCATTAAATTGTGATACTACATATATGAAAGCACTGTTTTCTAATATGTAAATTAACCTAGTCTTTTCATCAAATTTTTTCCTATAATTTGCCTAACCATGCGGTGTGGACTTTTTTTTCCTCCCAAATTATAAGAGAAAGTTTATCTAGAAAGTTACAGAGGTAGTAGAAGTGAGCCAGCTGGGCTGTGTAGGTTCAGGAAACAAGTTACAGAAGCAAAAGAAAAGGACCGCTGGAGCTTAGGAGAGAGAAAGACAAAGGTGCCAGGTGCCCGGGCGGAAGAAGAGGGAGCCGGAAAGGCTCAGGAGCAGGTGTGCTCCCGAGAGGGAGCGTGCGCAGGTGTGGGCTTTTGTTTGTTTTGTATTTTTAAAGACAATCACAATTTCAAGATTTCTGTCCTATTATCGTTACAGATTTCAGGAGTTGAGTGACATCATTCAGACTTTCAAAATCCAGTGTCAGATTTTGTGCCCCACTTTTTGGTTCAGAACACCGTATCACCTAGCCATGGCCTTTCAACCATCATAGTCAGAGGATATCTCTTTTGTCTTAGTATGAAAGTGTTTCTTGGTATATTTTACTTAATCTACCTCTCTCTTGATTTTTTTTCTTTTAACAGATATGGAGGCTAATCACCAATTTTTTATTTTTTGGGCCTGTTGGATTCAATTTTTTATTTAACATGATATTTCTGTATCCTTTATTAAGTGGGGTTAGCATAAAAACTTTAGGTTCACTGAGGAAATACAATATTAAGTTGAAACTATTAATCCTGTTATTTGTTACCATTTTATTTTTTTAATATGTTTTTATTCATTTCAGAGAGGAAGGAAGAGAGAAAGAAATAGAAACATCAATGATGAGAATCATT